GAAACAAAATGAGAGATTGTGAGGGCTCTACGCTCTTGGAAATCGGCAGTTCTAATAATTGGTAAGAAATCGCCCTTCTATGTTTTGCTAATTCTGGTTGATATCATTCGTTGCTGGTTAAATTTTATCAAACGTCATTAATAGACATCTAGCAAACTAATGAATTTAAGGTTTACAACTTGACGCTATTAAGGTCTAACCTCAGCCTGAATAATTTGGATATATGTACTTTATTTAACAGTTATTTGAATACTCGACATTCGAAGATAAATTACATTTATGAAAGCTCGTCAACAAGTCCCACTAAATGAGATTTTTTATAATTTATTTTCGCGTGTCGAGAAGATGCTATTCGCAAAGTGAAGAACGAGGCACTTCAGGAACTCAATTATTTTGCGTTCGCACCAATTACGCATGTACTCGTATGTACATATCAAAGGTTTCGCTCGTCGACTTGGACCCATCTCGTATGGTACATGGTAGGGAAACAATAACATAAGCGAGCATGTTTATTTATATTTACATATGTGGCCATTTCCCCTTCCGTTGTGTCTTGATTATAATGATGTTGCGAAATTACAAATTCTCATTATTCCTCTAGTTCTCACTCTTTAATTCATTGTTTTGTGCTGAGCAGATCGTACGTATTTATGTAAGTGTCTTTGAATGAAATAATCCCGGTAAACACACGCAGATGCCTACGAAAGGTTTGGTGCTGTGAAATTTCGTTTTTCTTACGTACATAGATATTATCTTCTGCGTCTGATTGTTTGTGGCCCGTCTTTTCGTCTATAAGAATCTAATTAATGTACACGCAGTCAGTTGGTCATTGACCAGCCGTAATTACTGCGCATCAACTATTAGGGGTGACCTAACGACTTCTTGCTGACAATTCCATGTATAATGCGTACCATAAGCTGTTTGTTTTTCATTTACTTGATTGGAGCTCGCAACATTCAGATCTCAAAGTAAAATTCGAGAAAAGTCCAAATGAAGACTATAGTTTAGAAAAACTAATATTAATTATAAAGTATATTAAATTATCAAAAACGAAAATAATTAAATTGTATCTCCCAATTTGTTCTTCAAACATTCATTGACCAAAGAAATTTAACTATAAAATTTAAAGTAAGATTCAAAAGGATTGGAAGTGCCTAAAGGCTTGCTTTCGCGATTAACTCGATCGCATTTTCCCTAAAACGCCTAAGTGTCGTGCTGCTTTTGATTAATTTGTGCTTTGAATGCCTTAAACCAGTTGGCTAGGCGACTTCAAACATGATTTGTGCCACATACACTCACGATCGCAGCATTATTTTATGACTTTTATTGTCCGCGGTGACAAGACCTGATTCGAAGGCTTTTGACAGCCGTTATGGCAGGAATGCCGTTTACGGGCTAACTCCCCGCCTTAATGTTGCTCCGCTAGCCAGCAACGAACCAATTATGTTCCCCTTAGGCTTGCAACATGATGCAAGCCGTCATCTGACATTTCGACAAATGTATTAAATGCAATTACGAAATAGCGCCACATCAAACAGCTTTCCTGGATTTTCTTGCATTTCTTGTTTGGCAGTTTTACTTAGCCGATGCCATAATACGTATGTACATGTGTATGTAGACCGGAGCCATTGCAGTTTGTTGACAAATGACTATAAAAAATGTTATTAATGAGCTATTTGCGAGTAAATTACGAATTACTGAGAGTTTCAGGAGCTCTGCTGCAATCTTTGTTTATAAATTTTGTTAATTTGAAGGTGATGTTTCCCCTGAAGTTTTGAAATTTTTCAAAAATATCATTTTCTAAATATACTTTCATTAATAAATCCAAAAACAGTGGTGTGTACGCTTATGGTTTATGGTCTATTAATCAGTAAGACCAAAACTTTTATCTTTAATAATGCTCAATGGACTTTCTGGAGTTCTCTCAAGGTAAAATAGTATTTATTGAATTAAAATCTGTATAAGCTTTCCAAAAAAGCTAACTCTCCTGTCCAAAGAATACTCGTAATAGCAATTGCAAAAGCTGCTTTTTAGTGGGGATGCGGTTGGCATTAAAACAGATTAATGTGCCTAATTGCCATTAACACCATGGCCAAGGCGACGATGACGGCGGCGGCAGCCGATATGACAATGATGGTACCTGCTGGTGATGACTCTGACGTAGCGCTGAGGCTGACATCAACAATATCGCCACTGGCGTTTCTCTGTTTGTCCAAGCGTTTCGTCGCGTGTCAACGACACGGTTGGACGGATTAGTGTTTTCAGCGGCAGGTCGCGCGTCAGCCGTGGAAGACCTTGTTTTGCATCATTGGCGTTGAAAGAACGGCTTTGGAGCGCGTGAGTGTGGTAGTGTGTCGGTGCTGTTGTGATTACTGTTGTCAGCAGCTGAAAGGTGTTAGCTTCGGCACGCATGCGCGTATTTGCTTAATTGTTTGTAACAAAACGCAGACCGGTGAGTGAAAGTAATCGAATTGCGTGCAACATGTGGCGCATTGACTTGCTGGGTGTTTTGAAATGAAGCCGCAGAGAAGCAAGTGTTTCATAAATATTAGTTGCTTTCGATTTCTTTAGATAATCGTACCCAAATAGTTTTTCTAATTATTCAAGCAAATATTCATAATATATAAAACCCAAGTGACATTATTCTGCAACAATCTGTAAACTACTTGACACGTTAGAAGCTCTCCACAGCAAAAAATGTATGGCCCTGTTTTCCGCATATTTATTCCTTTTTGTGTCGATCACTATTGCCCGCAATAGTTATGAGGGTTCTGTAGTAAATTTCAATCGACTAGTGTAATAAATAATTGGAAACAGCTAAGAAAAGCTCAAACTGCTCTTAAACTACTGTTAATTTTAGAAACACTCAACAAATGAAAACTGTACGTTGATCCTAACCCTTATTCAAACATCTCTTATCGTTTTAGGTAACTCTTGTTTTATTTATCAATCTGCATAATGCTTTAATCTGTTGTTTTTTCTATAATGCATGTTTACATCCCACTTGTAGTAGGCAAACTTATTATATTCGGGGAGCTAAATACATATCTTTTTCGATATTTTTTCGCTTAGTTAGTTCAGTAAACAGTTAGCATTTAACTCGAATTCGACTCATTTCCTTTTGTTTGCCTCAATTACCCTCTAACCCTCTTTTTTTAAACTTTCGTTGACTTAGTATTTTGTTTATTTCTCTGTTATGAAAGTGTCACTGAGCAAGTGAATCAGTAGACCGAGTCGTAGATGAGAACAGAGAAATAAAGACTTTAGTTAGCTTTAGTTTTGGTGATTATCACAGCTGCTAAGAACATATATACAAGTATGTACATATATATATTGATAGAGCGTTTAACCATTTCGAAAGTATTTTGCTTTCACTCCACAAACGAAGAGAGTTTTTAAGAAATCTGGCGCTTATTATGCCAAATGATAAAAAATACGCTGTTTTCAATGGTTTAGATTGTTCTAATAATTCAGAACTTTCTAAGCTCAGCTAGGTTAATTTTATCTTAATTTCACTTTTTGAAAGTGAGATTTACTTCACGCCCTTTATATTTATCATTAGTTAGAACTTACTATGCTTTCTTAAGTCACTCTTCCTTGGAAAGAAACATATGCATGGGGAATAAGAAATCTAACAGTTGTTACACGAAGGCCAATCAGTATGCAAATCGTGTTTTAAAATTATTCAAGTAATAATTACGGTTTATTCTTATGTTTGTAAGAATTGATTTAAGTATGTAACTCATGCAATGCTATCGAAATGATTCATTTACGAGTATAATAATGCCAGCAGATGTAAATCCTGCACACACAATACGAGACTCAGTGTCCCTGTTGGAAAATAATAGTTATATAATAGCAGATGAACACCGGCGGCTTAACAAAGGAAGCCTCTTACATAAATTCATTTCTGAACGGGATTATAACGTTAAAAAGGCAGATAACACTCACTTTCATTCAACTCTCGCATCTAGTTAACTCATTTTTCTTTAATAAATTTTGCATCGCATGTAGTTATGATGCGAGCTATTTCCTACGGGAACATTGTGGCAGTGCGCATGTGCGGATTGTGTCATACTACGTGAGTAACAAAAATAAGAAACCAGAGGGAAGGATTATGCACACAAAACGTCAGTCTGACATTTTCTGGCTCGTAGTGGAGATAGCTTTGCCACGCCACTAGTGAAACTATTAAAAATCGGAAAATTTTCAACAGACTTATATTACAAACTTGATTAAGCAGATTCTGCTCTTCGTCACTCGCTAATATTAGTGCCTTTGTTTTACACAAATGCTGTTGCAACATCTAAGTTTGAGTCAGTGCTGTTGTTGTTCTGAATCGAAACGAAAATGTCCTCAACCCCAGAGCAAAAGCAGCAACAGCAGCAGCAACAACAAAAACCCCTACCGCAGTCTCCAATTGGTGCACGTCGCGTTCGTACCGATTTAAAGACATCAGAGAATATATTTCTGACAGCGGCGCGGCCGAGCATACCTCGCTCATCCTCACCCATTAATATTAAATCCGTCACATGTGGCAATATGCAGTCAGTGCATTCTCCGATGCAGAGTACGCAACACACTCCCTCTCCGAGTTCGCAAATGTTGCATGGCATACATAAATCACACCTGCCACATGCCACACATAAGCACAGAAGTTCTAAACGAACGCCAACTGTTGCTGTTGCAGCAACTAAAGGGATGACGACAACAGCAACAAAGTCAACGTCCACCTTGAGTGGCGTGTGCAACTGTTGGTGCCACTGTGCCGCTGCAACGGCGCTGTCAACTAGCGCGCCGCATGCCAATACCACATATCTGAGGTGCGCAACGCAATGACTTTACATTGATTTTTGAGGTTTTCATATCATACTAAATTTAAGATTTTGTTAATAGGCCAATGGAAACCATATTCTCGACCCATTATTTATCGGTTCTAAGTTTTGTCATGTACTAAAATGTTGAACGTATTTACCTGTTCTTCCTCACTCTCTTTTCAGTGCTCATTTGCCCGCTCGCGCCACTCGTCTTCTAAATCGTTCACGCTTGCAACAGCAACAGTATCCCTCCTCGATTGCCAGCGGTGTGAGCACTAATGCTGCGGCTGGAACTTCGGTGTGCGGCGGCGGCGACTCTGACAGCTCAAAATCAGCCCACAGTCTACGGCGCAGCGCAGCGGCTTCGCGTGCCTCAAACGCTTCCACATCATCAACGAATGCATCGTTGCCGCCGAGCACTCCTTACCATCATCAGAAACCATTTCAGCATCACTACTCACAACTTCATCGTGACTCGCACAGTTCTTCGGACGATCTCATGCTGTATGACAAATCTTTTCGAAACGCGATGATTCAGGATGTGTTGCAATTCAAAAAACAGTTGCTGCGGCTTCGACGCCTTCTACAGGACGTAAGTATGAGAGAAGTTCGAAACACTGGTCCAACACTGAACCTCACTAAAATATTCACTCAAAATAGTATTTATTATGTATTGTATACAAGTATAAGTATACTCGTAACATATATATTTTAGAATATAGTTGTTGTGTATACAAATCACTTTTCATTTTATTGTCATTAATATTTGTTTTTGTTTGTCTTTTCTATTTGCATGTAAACATATTTGGTTTTACCATGATCCTGGTTTTCATTTAAATTTTGCACCGCATTTTACTTTACAAATCCACATACATACAAATACAAATTTTATACCAATGTATCAACAGGACGAAGAATATTTGATGAGGGTATGTCCATGCTTTCGATTTTTTTCCTAGCTGCTAGAGGTTTTGGGAATATAGATCACCGAAAGATCGGAATAAATTTGGATTCTTTATAATTTATTGTTCTAAAAAAGTAAATAACGGCATCAGATTTTCTTTAGATTAAAAAAAAATTCTTTGATTTTACTTTTATTTATCGCAATGTGCTTTAATTTGCACTCAAAATTTTGCGAAATCTTTAAAAGTCCACAAAATTAGCTCCATCTGTGAGTTCATAGGTCTCATCTGTTTGCAATAAAGCAGCAAACGGAAACGAAGTGCGATTATGAAGGCGAATAAAAGGTGAACGACTTCAAATAACAAGAGTTAGTTACTAGAGCACAGTTCCGGCTAAAGTAAGGCAGACATACATACATACATACATATGTATATATCGCAGCACTAGTCGCTAATTTTCGCAACTATTTACACATACGCTACAACAATAATAACAACAAACCCATTTTTCGCAGACGGAGACTCTCAACCCATTCGATAATGACAATGGGCAACTCTTCGCCGCCTGCGGCTTGGACAGCAAACTACTGGATGAAATGGACCTGGCCAGCCTGACATCCTCGACCACGGATGACCCAATGGTGGAGTTAGCCGATCTACGAAGACAGGTGGTTTACCTTCAGGTATTTGCACGTTTTTATAAGTTTGCGTTGTTATCTTTTCATTTGTCCTGCCAATAAGAATAAACCATACTTTAAATTTAAGTTCTTCTGAAACGTCTGAAAAGATTTCTCTAGAGAGTCGGCTATACCTAAAATGCGTACTTCCTTTCTACTTTATATGGCAATGCAATACTGAAAACTTAAAATTTAAAACAAAAGAATAAAAAAAATATGGCAATCCTCTTAAAACACTTCCGTTTCCAATTGAGTTTCGTAGGTCATGAATAAATTTCCGCGCTCTCGCATAGCCCATATAAAGATTTTCCAATACCTTAACCGCAATAATTACATTAAAACTAAGGTAATTTATACTTACTCACTTGCGAATAGTTTTGACTTTTCGACAAATTCAAATATTGTTTCGTTTCTTAACAAACTCTCTTTATTTGTAACATTTTCGATTTCATATTTGCATACAAACATCTCTATTTTGAATCACACCTTTTATATAATTATATATAGTTGTATATCCTTTCGATTACATATACAGCATGTTAATAAATGTACTCGTACACTAGTAAACAGTATGTAACAAAATGCACCGATTAAACCCCGCCGTGGGCCACATACAAACATAGATACAGTGCGTACACTGCGCGCCACTTGAATAGTACATGAGCAAGCTATTTTTTGTTTTGAATGAAAACCTTTAATCGGATTTCTTTTACTTTTACACTTTTGTTTAATTGAATCAGATTATTTTCAAAGGATATTATATATTTAGAGCGAGGACTTGAGCGTCCACTCAGCTCTTGTACAAATATAGGTACATAACCTAAAAAAAAATAACAGACACATTTTTAGGTTTCTTTTACTTGAGAATAATGCAGATCCAGACTTATCAAGACAGGCAACCCCAAACATTCATTGTTGGATTTACTTCTCCACCCTTGGTATGTAAGCAGTTTAACTGATGAGCTCTATATGAAGTTCGCTGTAGGGATCTTCTAGATTTAAATGTTTCCACTGCAAATGATGGAGTGATGCCAGTGGTCCAGCTCATATGACTGCGGCGAAATTGAAAGCTTTACTTCTTGCGTACCGCTTTAAATGTTCATTTTCAATGTGCATGAGTTTTCAGCTTGAAATCGCAAACGAACGAATTACTCTAATTTTAGGCCTGATTTTCGAATACCTATAAAGTAAGTGTGTCATTTAAGTGGCGCAAAATTTGTTTTATGAAAGTAAATTAATACAGCAAATCAGCATATAACGGTATATTGGCATTGCAAAATTTTTAGAAAAATATAGGTTGAGCTATACAATTGGCGCGTAGTGTACATACTGAGGTTTTGTAATAAATACTATATTGGAAGTAAAGATCAGGAATACTCTGCAGTGAAACAGCAAAATTATGAAAAAATGTATTTACTTAAAATTTAAATGATATTTCTGGCCCCAATTGTAGAAAAATTTAAAAATGATTTATTTTATTTATCTTACTATTGGAAAATCTAAAGGGTGAATGGATATTTTAAAATTTAGATAGAGCGCTTGATGTTTTCAACCAGTTACCTTCACTGCAGGGTATTGAAAACGTTGTGTAAACAAGAAATAACATTTGATATTCAAATATCGCAAAACCTTTCAATGAAATTGGTATGGAAAATATGTGAAAATTTTTGAAAACAAATGCAATTGTAACACACTGCAATCCATCTAATACTTCCTCGAAATAATTTCAAATTATCCAACTGCATTGTAGCTTCCAAAAAAGAGCAAGATTTTCACGAGCGTCGATGACTAGAATGCATTGCACCCATATATCCAGTATAATTGAATTAAGATGAAACAATTAAATTCTCCTCTTCATAAATACACACATACATAACACATGTACATAAATGTCACGGAAGCGGCGAGTTTCGTATATATTTTGCTTTCCTTTCTTTCCGATTTTGTTACGTATACTATTTTGTTTGACTGTATATTAGTTCTGTAGTACCGTCCACTGCTTGACTATAGTTCTAAAATATCTTGGTATTACAATTTCATAACGCTGCACAACTAACAAATTACTACCGGCTAAAATACATATACTACAACAACAACGACGATAGGGAGAAGTTGAAGATCGCGAGCGAACCATTCGTTTGCAGAAAAATCAAATAGAGCATCTGGAATCAAAAAAACCACCAATACAAAACGACCACACAAAAGAAGTGATGAATATAGCAACGCAAACAGAAAGGGTAAGTCATTTCAAATATCTCTCAAAATAACATAAAGGGGAGAACATGTTCATGCAAGTCAAACACAAAATTTTTTGGGGGGTTTTAAAGTTTAAAGTTTTAAAAAAATAAAACAATGAAATAACTTTTAGCGATAAAATATCAGGAAATCTTTGCTAAATATTCTTTTACTTATAAGACTCTCTGTTTATATCCAACAGACACGACCACTTTCATATGGCCTAGATGGACTGTCAAGGTAAGATCTTGAGAAATAATTTAGAAGCATAGACACTATGTAATTTAGCCAGTTTGCTGACCTAATAATTGCAATATAAATTTGAAGTGCAGAAAAATGAGTTGTATCACAGCCCACTGACAACCAAATTTTAATTCCTCCTTCTTTTTACTTCGATTTTCGCCCCACAGCGTTACCACGCAACACGACAGCCAACTTCAACCCACTTGTGGTTGTAAAGAAAAGACTTTACATTTTTTCAACTATCTCAAAACTAAAATACCCAGAAAACATTTCGCCCCCTGCCAGATACTAATCACAACCATCCCGACAGCCACACAGCGCTTCTTCATTATAATTCACCGCAAATTGCAACATTTCAAAGACAACTTCGGTGGCATTGTAATCGGCTGCCTAAACGGCTTCGCTGCTCCAAGCGACCGAAGTGACCGAAGTGATGGGTGCGACGACGGTGGAGACGTTGCTGCCAATGGCAGCAGTCCGTTGTGCCTTAGTCGTAGCGATGGCACCTTGCAACGGCTTGCTGCATCTGCATGTGGCACGTTGGTGCGCTTCACGCGCTGTTGCACCGATTTGCATAGTTGGCGCTTTTTGCTGGCAAATTGTAGACAGCTTTCATGCAATATTTTGGCGTGCTACAATAACCACTACACTAACTCCTGCAACTACATGCATCACTATTACCGCGGCCTAGTTGCACGCAGCCAAGACGCAGCCAATTGGCTCGATTTTCGTGTGCGCAGTGCCGGTGCTTTGCTTGCGACGAAGATCTTTTGCTTCTTTCACCATCTGCAACGAATTCTGCCGTAGGCAAATTGTTTTGCGAAATCACGTAAAATTAGGAAGACAGAAAATTAAGCTGCAACAACACTAACCAAACCACAACACACTTGTATTTGCATACAACAAGTGTTTTCTTTTTGTATGGTGTTGGAGTTAGAAAACATTAATTAACTTCTACTAAACCCCGTTGCAATACTCACACACATACTTAATTACTCTTAGGGATCTTACACAACTCTCTTACTGATATGCCACACATTATATTTTCTAGCTTAAGCATAGAACTACTTATACACCAAATCTAACATTTCGATTCTCTCTTTCATGCTGCCTTTTTGAATGGGTTTTGTATATCTTATTATAATAAAAAATTTAACAAACATAAATACTTTTAATTACACACACGCACTCACACTCACATGTCCTGTAAAACACTCTCACAAATCACAAATGCCCACCGATCGCTAAATCGTGGCAACAATGGTGGTGAACAATTTATAGAAGTCACTATGGTGAAGAACAGGTACTGTTTTGTGATCTTATCATGGCTGTCATGGTTCTATGTGCCATTAACATTATCTGTATACTACATATAACCTACTCATGTATTGACAACTGTTCCTCTTGCCTATGAAGTTAATGCAAATTGTTGTTATGTACTTAAGTTTAACACTGTACAATAAAGTTGAATAGACTAAATAAGAAAACAGTAATATAACTTTAAAATCAGCACTCAACGTCTAATTTATAATCAAGTTAAATAGGGATCGACTATTTGGGCATCTTTGTTACTATTCAATCAAAGCGGAAATTCTTAAACCAAGCAGAGGTACAATAGAGAGCCAGATATCCGAAGATGAGGCCTTGACTTACAGTGTATCTATATTAGAAATAAGTAAGGATGAGCCATCAGTATCAGTGTGGAACCAACAAATTATAACCTTAGATGTAATATTGAACCATAGTTGAATTAAACTGAATTACGTTCTTTCTCTCGGATTACAACGTTTTCGTAACATGGTCAGCCGGTCTCCCGATGTTATCTCTTAGTACCATTCTCTTTTGTATCTATTCAAAGCCGTTGTCAAGCTATCGACAATCGACGTCTTATGTCACGCGCCAACTAATTAGTTAAAAAAAAACTACAATGAAAAAAACCCTATTCTTGAATTAGTACAACCTCACTTTTTAGTGCATCGAAAAGTAAAATAATAAAATTTTTAAAAAGTCAGATTGCAGGTTTCTACAGATTCTAACTTTTATTTCATTTAGTGACCAATAATTTATGATTTTTAAGGTCCATCGAGATTTAAGTAGTGTATGTGATCAGGAAGTAAAGGAACTAGTATAAATAAATTTAGATATGTAGATCTTACTGAGGTATGTGTATGAAGTTATTAAGAGTATCGTACACAATTAAAGCAGAAATAAATTTAGTTTTTATAAAATGTACAAAAACAATTCCAGCTGCAAAAATAGAAAATATTTTTTTAAATATAAAAAAGCAATGTGCACTGTATTATTCTAGTATATACCATATATGCAATGTTACATATATTTATTTATTATGGACATGTTAGTCTCGACTATTTCTAAAGTTCACTGTAATACTCTTAAAAAGAGTGCAAAACTCTTATGTAACTAATATGAAAAACAGACAAAAGATATATATTAAAACTGCTGAAACTTTTTTAATTGCATGCGGCAATTAAGCAGACTTGTGAGGTAATCCTTCCTGTGATTAAAAATTAACAACAAATACCCGTAAGTGCAGTGCAACAGCGAGAGCTTGCAAGGGCTTGCAGAATTCTTCACATGTGTGTAGTCTCTTTCTTTGCTTTCGTAGCACATCTGAGGAATAGAAGCAACAAAACTCCGAAGCAGTTCGGATTAACTGTTGCACTGCGTAGTCGTTGACGGCAATCGAATGCTTGTTTAGCGAGATCAAATCCCGTTTTGTGATAATTGTGTCATAACGAATCAAACAATTAAATTTGGCTCTTTCAAAGAGATCAATGAAAGTTATACATACAAGCATTCAGTTGCACTGATATTGACGAAGAGAATATAGCATGCGACTAAAAATCTACAAAAACATATAAACACACACACACTTACCCATTATCTTACTAAATGCTCTTTGTTCACCACATTCTTAATAAATACATGGAAATGATTGTCTAGACAAACACTAGATAATTATGTATGTTGCAAAACTGAAATAATTTTCTCGTGCTTCTTTCTCTTTCCTCCCGGCCGCACCTTCTGCACCCGCGCAGAAGTAAGCCCGAGTACACCAGTTATACCACACGTTATCACCCGGCCGCCACTTGTGAAATCAATAGCATTTGCAATGGCGCCAACAACAGCAACAACAATAACAACAACTTATGCACGTATCAACAACAACACAACTGCTGCAACGGCAGCAACAACAACCTGCCAGCGGCCACCACAGAAGCAGCATCACAACAAATACGCCGTCACACCATCATATCCACCACTCTGAGTAATTACAATCAACAGTCGGCATTGGCACCGCGACGTGCCTCGATCGCGTGGGAAAAACCAACAGCGCCTGCACCCACAACACCTTTGCTCGCCCAGACAGCGGCTGTGGCCGGCACAAAACACGCGCCACCAGCCGCAACCACCTACAAACCCGTGAAAATCACACTGATTGGAGAGCCGCTCAAGCAATGGCAATGGAATGCCGTTGGCAATGGGAAGACTTCTGACAGCAACGGGCACATAGCGGCCGGCAACCATGGAGACAAGGAGGGCAACGCAAAGCGCGAACCGACCGATGGCAATAAAAGTGGAAGTAAGAGCAACCGATGTGGTGGCATGTGTAATGGCAAGAGTAATAGTGCGAATTGCTCGAATGGCAGTAATGGTTATACAAACGGCACGAGCAGCCAGGCGAGTGGCCTAAACGAGGTCTCGAGCAATGGGCTGCAAAAGGAAAGAAGCCATCAGCCAAACCATAACCATCAGAGGCTTAATCTGCATATGCAACAGGCGCTGACACAGCCGGGACAACAGCAGCAAACACGTGTACAACAACAACAGCAAGTCTATCACACAGCAAACGGCACCAATGGCAATTTCAATCCAACAGTTACTATAGTCTGAGCGCAAAGTAGTTAGTTCGTAATGTCTGATATTGATATACAAACATACTTATACTTAAATTGATATTAAGATACAAATTTTGGAGAGTGGATTATGTAGAGGCGATGTTTTAGAGTACAGTTATTATTATAATCTACTCATGTGTGGATGTTTTGACGGTCAAGTTATCTTAAGCTTCAGGAAAATTAATATTGTGCAATAAATGTGCAAATTATGTATGTATGTAGTAGTTAAATGTGTAGTAGATTCTCTGAAACAACAATTAATGCCAATAATGGATTACTTCACATTGTAAATTCTTTTAAAAAGCCATCATAATGGCAATGAACAGACCCAGTTTCCCAATTCTTTACTCCCCGAAAAAGTGTATGCATAGCAAGAGGGGTTTAAATTGCGACAAGTAAATCATGAGGCTATTATATATATATTTCTCGACCGTTGTAGTGCTTACTGGGCGGCAAAGCAAAAAATACTGACGCACATTCTTCTGTCACTCCAGAAATGGTCAGGGGAGTTTGATAGGTGATGGATGGTTGCAAAATAAAATTTTAACTTAAACCAGAGTCACACTGGGGAAGTTCAATTCTGCGTGACTAAGCCTGGTGACGATAATGTGTTATGTGCACTATATAATACTACATTTGTTCAATATAATCTCTTATAATAATATTATTTCTATTATTATCATATTATTGGTATTATTATTTATTATTATTACTATTATTATTATCATTACTATTATTATTGTTATTATTTTTATTACTATTATTATTATTATTATAATTATTCGGATTTTTACTACAATTATTATATTGGTATTATTATGGAATTGTAAACGGTTACAGTTGCAATTGTTTTTTTTTTTTTTGTTAAAAGTTCATTACAAACTTTACACTGTCCTAGACTTAGGGTCATCGGGGTTGCTTAAGGAAATGTGTGATCAGCTCTATAGGAAATTCATGACACAGGGACAGGCCAAACACTGAAAGACACTCTCGTTTTTGCACGCCATTTCAGATATTTGGAGCGTTCCAAAATATCTATATTGATAAAACTCCGCTAAGATAACATTTCGCTTGATTTCACTACATAGATTGATTCTTAAAAAGTTCGTCATGAATTAACATTTTTGGGATAAGCAAAATATTTTGTACTTACAACGCACACTGATCCATTTATATTAATGATCATACATACATATGTATGTATGTACATATGTACACACTTTTGAATTTACACAATTTAATTAAGAAACACCTTCAGTAAACTTGCTATATTCACTAATATTATATTATTATTATTATATACATACATACATACATGTATTGACTAATTAATCAGGCATAGCATACAATTCTGATATTATTGAATATAATATACGATTATATAATATATGAAAGTAGATTGAGAGAAAGTGTAAGCCAAGAGCAGAACTAAACTGAAAATTATTAATTTAGTGCTTACTTAAGCTTGACACACACACATGCGAGTATATAAATGCACACAATGAACAACTTAAATACCTATATACTTATACAAACAGATTGTGGCAAACTTTAGCACATGCATACTCACATACATACATATTATAAAGAACGTATGTGTGTGCAAACATATATATAAAAGTTTATAGCTGCATTGAAATATGTAATTGAGGAAATGCAGCCACTACTTACACCTGTATACATATATACATACTTGTATATGCAATTTCTTTGAGAGAACAATAAATGACAAGCAAACCAACATATTTACTCACACTAAGCATTTAGCATTTAGCGTTAAATAATTATCATAATCGTCCGGTAAGTGTGTGGAAGGCATACCTTATCTCTAAATTACTAATATACATATGTATCTATGACCATATGATCATGAAACATATAGACTCCACACATCCCCCACATAATTTAGTATTAATAGCTCAATCTGATTTAGCTTAATTTTGTTATCAATAAGTCTATATTTGCGAATCAAGTTGCAAATACGTAATTAATAAACCCAAATTTTACCAAAATTGTATAAATTATTGTTCATTTGTATTTCAACCTTATAGAAAATCAATAACGGTTACCTTAAACCTTAATTTTAGATGCTGCATTCACGTTTCATTTATTGATTGTTATTAAAAAGCGAAGATAAGTTTCCAATCTTCACAAAAAAAAAGCGTAAATTACATGAGACTCAAATAAAATCTATAATGCATGTACAGATAATTAGAGGCTGAGTTTTCCTTATTAATATTACTACCATGGTAAGAAGTTGGATGGATGAAGTCAATGTTGGCATAAATCAACTAAGGCAAACAGCATAATACCTAAAAACGTTTTAAGGTGGAAAAGTCGAAAGCCTAGACCAAAGGACCACTGTCCGGGTTTTCCTAAAGCTTGTTCGATAGTTTTGGATCATCCTATCCGTTCCGTATATATAACACAAACTCACTGATTTATTTACGTTAGCATACAAGTATGTATAAAGTCTTTTGAGTGTCCTATTATGTTTTCAGATGAAGCTCAAGGTTCCGGATAGTGCGGTTTCCGTAAGGTATTCGTACTAAAACTAATTAATGATTAAAAGTAAAACTTTTTGTAATGTTCTATGTTGTTTACTAGAAGACATTGCTTTTTAAATGTTTATAAAATGGGAAACTCATTTCAGTCCAAAAGCGACTTGACATCTGACTAGATGAGATTAGCAAAATGAAGACTGAGTTTTTGCTTTATGTATGCGAAGAATTTGTAGGTTTGAAAATTAATTCCAAAGAAATTTAAATTTAAAAAGTATAGAAACCTATAACTCTCAGACACCTCACTTCACACACCAATCTCATATTATACTAAAGCAATACCTACAAATTTCTCGAGCTTTTTCACAATTAATGCGAATTTAATCTGTGTTGATGGCTTGATCAAATTTAAAGAGAGTCTATTCCACAAAGAGCGAATTAAGCGCGCGGCTGCACTCTGCTTTATTTAACTAAACACTACTCAAACAATGCGAGATTCCGTCAGTAAAGAACTGTGGCTGGTAAAAGACGCTTCGACCGGCTCTGAACCATGAGTCAACGTGAGCTTGCATTTATTCTGATTTTATACATAACATTTCACCAACGTTTGCAGTTATCTGCTGCACAGAAATGCAAGCCACTAAGCGGCTCGAACAATTTCGGGATCTACAGATGCCAAGGAGTGCAGACGCTGAGCGAGATAGAGGAAGAGTTAGTGGCTACTTGGCGTGGCATAGTTGTGTGCAATCGCAAAGAAGATTACCTCGATTTTACACGTAAGTTAGTGCTTGAATGCAATCCAGTTAATGTAGATATTTGTATGTGTGCGTGTGTGTATTAACAAGTGAACAAGAATTGCTTTATTACTAGCTGCACAATCGGGAGAGCATCAAATGCAAACAAAGTGGGCGCAGATTACTGATTTGGATCTATCGCAGGTTGGTGCTTTGAACCTTGGAGACGATGGCTTCAGCTCGTTCATTGCTTTAGAGCGTTTAAACTTAACAAATGCGCAATTGAGCGGATTGAAGCCTCAGTATTTTCCAAATGATTCAAAACTGGAGATGCTGGATGCGAGCTGGAATGATCTTCAGAGCTTAAGAGCAGTGAATTTTCAGCGTTTAACACAGTTGAGGGTGGCGAATTTTTCACAAAATAATCTAAAGTTCGTGGCAGCAGATGCCTTTGCAGTATTGGTGCATTTGGAGCAACTTAATTTGGAGAACAATGCTCTGATGAACGCCTCAGTCGGTGTCTGTAATAATCTAAGAGAGCTAAAACTCGGACATAATGACATAAAAAAGGTGCTTTAGATCGCAAATCACAAAAGATTAAGTCCATAATTTAGAGAACTTCTCTTAATTTCCCTTTTCTAGATATCGGAGTATGAATTTATGGGCTTGCCACAACTGCGACATCTGTGCCTTAGCTTCAACTCTATACACAGCATCGCCAATGGCGCGTTTCAGGCGCTAAGCACACTTACGGTACTCAACCTTTCTGGTAATTCATTACGTAAACTTTCCGCAGAAACATTTCGAGGAATGGAGCGTATACCATTACAATGTCTAGACCTCAGCTCAAATGATTTGAGCAGTTTGACATCTGAGCTCTTTACAACTTTACGTCAATTACAAATTCTGAACCTCAGTGGCAATCAGTTGGAATCTCCACCGGCCGGTCTTTTCGTAGGACTGACGCAGCTACGTAAGCTGTATATTTACGACAACGATATCGGCATATTTCATGCCAACACTTTTGCAAATCTCACTGCTCTCGACACACTTGACCTATCTGGTAACAATGTACAACAGCTTCATGCCAACGTTTTTGGTACAACGGCCCTACCACGCTTCCGAAAGCTTTTGATAAAAACCAACAACTTGAAGCACCTACACCCGCTAGCTTTTGATGCCCTGCCCTTCATGAAATACCTTTCATTGGGCTACAATGAACTGACTACTCTAGATAGACGTATGTTCGAACCAATGCGCAGCCTGCGAAAACTCCACTTGGGTAATAATTTGTTTGAAGAAATGTCCTTGGACGTGTTGCATGCACTTGGCGAGCTGTCAGAGCTATTGTTGGATAATAACAAGCTGTCATTTCTACCAAATATGGCAAACATAGCATTTCCCAACATGCGGAAGTTCTCGTTGGAAGGCAATCCATGGCAGTGTAAATGCCTTGACGATATCCTGGATTGGTTGAATTCGAAACAAGTGGACTACTTTAGGCCTCAGAGCCCGTATTATCAGGGCAAGAGATCTCTGTGTGTCGTAACGAGCAAAGATGTATGCGTTAGAAATTTGGCCCAGGTGAAAGAGGAAGGTTTCGCTGAATTACAGGATAATTATACGGAGAGCTAGCAATAAATATAAAGTTACAAAGATTAAATAAACACTTAGATTCTAATATAAAAGTTGCTTCATAGCTTTTTATCTTTAAATAATTATAAACGGGTGCTACCACACCTCGATTAACCAAAATATGTAACCCTTAATTTCTATTCGAATTTACGGTAAAACTTTTCATGTTGGTTATATAATAATTTACTGCTTTTGCTCATTAGAGATTGGAATATATATAATGGAATGTTCACTTTCAGACTGATTTGGAAAAAAAACATAGAAAGCAAAATTTACTTATTTGTAAATATACTAAAAATACTTAATTTATTCCAAATGGAGAATAAACAGTGTCGGTTCTAAGTTTGATCGATAATAATCGGGAAAAATTGAATAGCGCCATCTATAAGTCAACTACAAACAAAGTGTCAATATTCAAAGCTCGTTACTTTTGCTCTTGGGCGACGTCTATGTGTAAAAACTTAAGCGGTATCTGAGCCAAAGAAAATTAACAAACAGAAAAAAGCGCAAATATTAAAAAGTACATATTTGAGCTTTTCACATGAGGGAACATCGAAAAACAACTTCGAACCTTCGAAATTCACCACGCAAGGATCGAAACGGGGAAAAGGCTATAAATAGACACAAAGGATGTTCTTAAATGAATTATGCGCATGCGACTTTAAATTTGAAAATAAGGGCACATGCGTCAGAATGTATGTTAACGCAGAGTTGCACGGTAACTACTCCCCGCTCGTCTGAACATCTGGTATGGCTTGTTCGATTCGCTACTCTCCAACGCTTAGTCAAAGACAGCTATTCATTTTACATTGAGGGATACTGGTGTACCCCATAAATAATACTTACTTTATGTTTACATTGTATCATTATTTTATGGTTTTCTATATCCATTAAATTTACAGTTAGAGATATCAACTCACACAACTCAATCCTTTCAAATTTTACCGCCATTGGTATGTGTCTTCATTAAATTTTCATTAACATTGCAATGCCTTCGCTTCAGTCCTACCTTTCTCTTAGTGACACTTTATTGCTTTTAGAGGCATTTTTGCTATCCACTTCTAATTCCTTTTGGTAGTCGACAACTAAATTAAAATCATTGAATAGGCTCCGAAAGAACTTCTACGCACTAAACAAGTGGCACATAACAGTACTTGCATATAACGGCATTGACTTCTCCAAAACAATTGCCAGGCTTGTCAACCAGTATATTACCTACCGAATGTGGCATGCAAAAATTGTGAAGACTGCAATGAATTCTATGCAGTTCGAAAACTTTTAGTCTCTAATGAAAGGCACAGGAGAAATTGCGCGAGAAACCAAGACGTTTTACAAACCACAAAAGATGAGAGCGACAATTAAATCGAATTGAAATGTTTTGCACATGTTGTCGAACAATGGAAATTCTTTGAGGTTTCAAATTTCTCTCATGTGTGTGAGTTTGAATGTGTGTAAGAATTGTATTCTTCCTTAACTGTGTTATTCGAAGAGACGTAAATTCACCTCCCTGTAAATTCCAAGTGCATTTTTTCTCAAATGCGGAAAATAAGTATGTCAAAAGGTTAAAGGCTGGTCAAGTTCACCTGGGTACGAACGCTCATCAATTATTGGTGAAATTCAACAGCAAACTCACTTACGCACACAGAAATGTTTCTTAAATATTCTCACCTGGTAAGTACTCATAATACCGACTCAAAGCCCACTCTCAAGTATATTTGTTGAGCGACAAATTATGCACTTAGGCACCTTGGTACTTACATGCATTCATATATACCTCATCGCGAGAATACAAAGCAAGGAAGCGAGCAGCGTGCAAAACGCTTGAGGTGTCTGCAAGGAGCGGGCAAAGCTGAACAAATTACGAAACGGTGTCACACGAAATATAGGGATATACATATGTATGGAAGCGCGATGGTGTGGACATGTAAAAATATATGCGAGTATTGAAATTTTTGAGCGATTTTAAGGAAAGGTTTCTGCCTTTGTAGAAACTGACGCGAAAGAAAGTTGGTCCTTCGTTGCGTTCGCTCGCTGGTCCATTGTTGCTGCTTGGAGTGTTCATGGTCTATATGTATGTGTTTGTGGTGCAATGCAACCGGAATAATGCAACCAGAAAAATGACTCGTCGCACGAAAATGTTTGTGGTAAAACACCAATCCTCCGAGGGAACGAATGAAAATTTTTGTTCTCACACACACACTTATGTACAAACATTAAGAAATAAATTAATTTAAAATGCTGTAACCTTCCCTAGCGATTGCAAGAGTTAAGCGCAGAAGACAAGAAGCCAAACTTTCATATTTTCCAAAAATCGTACTTAAACTTAAATTTATTTTGCACAAAATTTAAAGGAGTGAGCAGACTATTTCCTCTAAAGTTCAACCGTAATAACCAGTGTACTATAAGTAAAAATCATAGCCGGAGTCCTGCATTGCTTAGAATACGGTTTCCTTGTCCGTTACACATTTTACCCTAATTAAACATCTTTTTACACAGAGATACCTCCAATTTGTTAAGAAAGTTTCAAGTTTCAATTGACAGTGATAATTAAATTGGATGCTTATAAATCTAAAGAAACAAACCGAAAAGGGCACTTCGTCAAAGAAACGGTAACTGAAAGGGATAAAAATCTCAATTTAAATAAATCAACTTCTAGGAAAAGCTAGAGTGACCTTGAATACACATCTCTTCCTCGAATGTCACACGAACTCATTAATTTCGTTTTAACCCCAAAAAGCCTACCCAAGTCGCTCTATTTTCGTTGCCAGAAATGAGATTAGGCTACATTAATACTTACACACACACACAACTACACATTCATAGGCATCAGTTGACAACAGTTTCGGTCAAGAGATCAGACAGCTAACAGGTATGATAAGGGTAAATGAGAGTTCTAAACGAAAGGCACGGCGTCTGGCTCAGAATGAAGTGTGGCCAAAATTGCCACAATATTTCAACAGCATGATTTGGAAGATAATTAAATTTCAGCATTCTGTCACAAAATTTACAAAATATTGTAATAATAAACTACAGACATTCACATGCATACATAAGTACCTATACGTGTACACCTCGCAGGTGTGAAGCTCCGTCTTTCGGTAACAGAGTGTTGCGCGTGACGAAATTATCTATTCATGCAACACGTGAATATAAACCAAATAAAAGTGTCTTAATTAAATAAGTGTTAAGCAACCTAAAAGCGCCACAAATATTTTAGGGAAACCATAAGGAAACCACACTGTATTTAGCTTTAAAATATTATTACACCAAAACTCTGTAATTTTATTTACTGCAGAGTTGATCCACAATTTGATTATTGGGAGGAAGTTAAACAGGTTACGCCATTCGATTCCCCCACTTATTGAGGTTTTATGTTTTGATCTTCTTTTATTTACATGTGTTTATTGTACCTTGAAATTGATTTTTGGGCGATCGACTGCACCTTCGTTGATTAATTAAGCTCTTTCACGAAGAAAATATTTAAATTTTATTTGCTGAGGATTTGAGAAATCAAAGGAAAAAATTAAAATTAATAGTTATCTGCCCTAAAGTATGAATGAGATGAATACAAAGATATGTTTGTTAAAGACTTGTCTCAGTTGTTTTCACTTTTTTAGTTTTACCGCTGGATGCGACGACACAATCTAACGGTATTACCACCCACTTACTTCTTAAAAGTAAGTTTATACACACGTATAAATGTGTCTCGTTGGCATAAGCGAGTCCACCGAGAATGAAAAAGAGCAAAATGCCCAACAGATCCGTGGTCCGTGGTCGTCCATTCGTGTGGTCATTAATTAATTTGCAGCTTTTTAACTCATTACCGGATCACATGCAGTGCGGCAGCTGCCAGCAGGTGGCTGGTCATGCTAATGATGTGCCAAGCATTTGGGTAGCTAGTAATTGGTGGCTGCAGCTCATTGATGTCTGCATATCCAATGGGATTCCGTTGGCTGCGGCAGCTATTGCTGTGAGAATGCTGGAATTAGAGATGCAAGGTGCTGCAACGGTAAATGACGCCGTGCATTCAAGGCAACACGTCAGCAGTTGTTGTAATTAGTGGAATTGTAGGTAAATTTACAAACAATCGGTCCGGTATTACCGCTTTCGAATGATAGATAATAGATCACGGGCAACTGCAATTATTCATTTCATGTTTTTAAAAGGTTCTTAGCAAGAGAATTTTATTTGCGCACCACCACTTCCATGGTTTACATAACACATTTTTGGTAAGGAAGCGGCTGAGGCGAAACCAAGACTTAGTGTTGCCATGCGGAAGTTTACAGCAACTAGTGCTCGTGTTCGACTCTAACAAAAGTAAATAAATACAATGGGAAAAACTAAGAGAGCGAGTATATTATAAATGTAATTGAAAATTAAATTACGAGTATAAATAACTTGCACTCAACTAAATTCAACTCAACCAAAAACCTAATATTGGCTAAGTGGTATCGCTACAATTTAAACGAAAACTTTCCGGCAGCGAGCAAACGATGTGAACACACACATTCACACACAATCATACACCAGTACAATGTATGTAGGTATGGGCGCGTTGAAAGCATGAGCGCTGAGAGTTTCCGCGCCGCTACCGCATCTTCATCTCATAGTTGAGAATGTTTGCCCATATTTTGTGGAGTAACTTATCGCCCGCACACATAAGCGAACAAAATGGGAAAAAAAAACACTGAAAAGGCCAGCGAAGCTTTGCGCTGTCTGCACGAGCGTTAGCGCGAGCGAGCGATTAAAAGCCGCTCGTAGTAGAGTAACCGCTTTCCCGCTGTTTTGTTGTTGTTCTCAGGAAAATCGTTAAATCCATTTAGCGGCACACTAACGCATACAATGTGCGTTCGTGTGGATGTGTTTGTAAATTTTTAAATCGACCCATGCTGTTTCACCAGCCTCAGGGTGCACTTGACAAACTTGGCTATAAATCAAAATCGATATTCTAACAACTTTGGCAAATTACAAAACTTTATTCATTTCCAACGCATCTCTAAGGCTTTGTTTTTGTTTATTATGCGCTCTAACAACAAATATAAACAGCCGAAGGGATTGTGTACTCGTACATGTGTATGAACGGTACATTAACCCTACTTATATATGTATGTACACGCATACACATACATATGCTGTCGATAACGGATATTTTGCACAATGCGCTAATGAAGAGCAAAGTTTAGCAGTGTTAGAGGCCGCTCTGCGTTCCCGAAGCA